TGAGGGGATTTTTCCTGACAGTTGTGGCGGCCAGTCTGAAATTCAGCTAGAAGCACCTGCCGAAAAACCGGTGCCGGTAGCGACAAAAACTTGCGGGGAACTCTGCAGAAAACGCATCTTCGCACGGGCAGCCCGTGCGTTGGCCATTTATTTTTTTTTTTTTGAAAAATTAAATCATTTCAGTAAAATATTTGCAGAATCAGGCATTTAACACTTGACTCCCCCGAGAGTGAAATGCTTTTAGAAGTCGAAAAATTAATGGCACTTAGCGGCTGTTCAATGCTATGGTAAACTGTTTCCAGTCCTCGCTTATTTGACTTGCGACAAGCAGTAGATTAATGTTACGTCAGCTCCAGAAAGAGTGTGGGATGGTTTGCACTGAATTTCTCCACTTCAATACATTTTTAGGAAGTGAAGCAACTTTTGAAAGAAAATGGCGTCCAATTGGATGAGGGCATTGCCATCACTGATCAGGTAACGCCATTGAATGCATTGCCGAATGATGCTGGCTCTCTCAGTGATAAAAATAATGCGAATCAGGTCAGTTTTTTTTCTTTTTTTTTTTTTTTTGACGATTTTGTTTGTAAAAAATATCTAGTGGAGTCTAGAAACGTGATTTTATCTCAAAAGCCAAATCTAGTTTGAGTGCGCTTATCGAACACTTTGCAGTGCCCCTCTGACCTTTGTTGTTAGCAGATGATTGTACTGCTTGTTAAAACATGATAATTAAAAAATCGGAAAACTGTTGCAGGAACCGACAAGTAATGCCAAGCGTCGTGCACCATCACCCTTTCGTAAATATGGTTGTAAACGAAAATGTCTTGGAAAGTGTCATGAAAGTCGCTCAGTCCCGAATTTACGGTAAAAATTTATTGTTTATTGGTTAGCAATTTAGGTTTTTGTTTTAGTGGCAAGCGCTCTGTGATATCGCCTTCATATATGTATAAAGCTTTTAACACAGTGGAATGAAATGAGCCATTTCATTTCGATCTTTTAATAGTCTGTAATGTTACTTGTTAAATCTGCTGTCTGAGGTGATTCATTGTAAAGGACCCGTCTGATTAGTGATAGCCTGTAGCTAGATGTTTTTGCTATTACTCATTGCACATAATATGGGATTGTTTATTGAATGATGGTTTCTTTTCTGTGGAGGTAAATTTTGGCATATCAGTTATATTCTGCGCGGTATTTTTATTTTTT